CTGTTCTTATCCTCCAGCCTCATCCCACAGAACAAACTAACCACATTTCTAGTTACAAGAATGGGCAGGACCACAGCCACAGTTGGATCAATATGGCATATTGCAGTGGCAGATTGATAGCTTAAGAAACATATATTTCCAGTAGTAATAGGTTCAAAAGAACAAACCTTCCCCTCCCCCTCAGTGTAAATCCCTGATACTGTCCAGGAAATACTTTCAAGTATTTGAAACACTCCGCACAGAGTAATTGTGATCATAACAGCTTTAGGTATTACTGTTGCTGTCTTCATGCCTTCAGTTCAAGCAAATAGATGTCACCTCAGTTATATTCACATTATAAGCTCTAAGACCCATTGGTTAGATGCCTAAGTTGACTGCAAGGAGAACAAGGTTCTCCTTGTTCTCTTGATAAGGGAGAGTCTGCATGAAATAAACTTGTATACTTTCTTGCTTAAGGAACATGATGTTTTTGAGGATGATTGCTTAAGAGGTGTTTGATTTAAGACACATCTTTATTCTCACACCACTCTTATATGGAGGCACCTGTTATTATGCAGGCAACCAGCTGTAGTTAATTATCTCAAACCTCGGTATAAGCAGGTCACAGGAAGTGAGCTCCTAAGTCCACAACAACAGACTCATCCTGCTCTCATGAGTGTGAGTACTGTCTTGGACTTTCCCGGTTCCGTCTCCATGGTTAGAAATATGTGAATGTCTACATTTGAATTAACCCTGCAAATTGTTTATTGTTTCACTTGAGTTTGACAAGTACAACACAGGATTTTGACTGAAAGAAAGGGGAGAAGAGTCAGTGGTTGCATGCAGATGTTCATTGGAACCGCCAGAAGTGATTCTGGGAGAGGAAGCAGTACAGGCATTCAGTCTTTAACTACCCCTCTCCTCTGCTCCTTGCATCTTCCCGAGACTAAGAAGATCTCAGTCTGGGCCAAGCACAGGGAGCATCGAGGTAAAGACTCCCATCTGCTCCTCAGCTTGGGAACTCTGGTCTAGGGAGTAGGTAGGGAGCAACAGGTAGCACCGCAAACCCTTAAGACCAGGGAGGAAGGAGCAACTGGACAAATATGGAAGCCAGGAGGGGAAGAAGGTATAAGTGTTCATGTTCACTGTGGTAAGAGAAACTCTCTCACAAGGCAGCTCTTCCAGGTTGAGGTCTGGATTCTCCTAGAAGAGGCATGTTTCCTCAAAAAGAAATTGAGCTAACTCATTTGTACTGGGAGAATAGTGATTCTCCTGGTAGAAAAGTAACACCTTTTCATGGCTACTGTATTGTAAAAAGAGAGTGCAACTTCTTGAAGACCCCAGCTCTTCCTTGATATATTAACAATTTATTTTGGTTTATTCAGTATCTTGGGCATCCAAGATTGCCATCCAGATTAAGCCATGCTACTTACTATACTTTTGTACTACTTTTTTATTTTGAATATTGAATTTTCATGATAAATATGCTGTTTTCTTGAGTGTTCTTTTAAAAGCAGCACCAAAAACTTAATTGGTTGAAAAAGTAAAAGCACCTGTTATTTTAACTAATACTTGGTGGGGATTGAAACGGTTGCTCTAATCATGTGGGATCAAAGCTTCACTGGCGATGCAAAAAGGGTCATTATACTGTTGTATTGGCTGTATGCACAATGACCAGGTATTTAAACAATTTGGTCACTTATGGTATATGGAAAACATGATGCTTCAGGATTTTATATATGTCACATGTATGCCAACCTTTGAATTTGAGCACTTGCTGCTCAGTGAGGCTGTTGTTATGAAGGGTGTTTTTGTCTAATTTGCTATCTTGGCTGAAAGACTGGGCACATGAATTACAAGGCATTTCTGCTTTCTGAGCAGATGACTCCCAAGGTGGCCATATAAATGTTTGTAGTACAAACAGTCGCATGAGTGCGCTGCACAATATTTGTGACATTTTCTCATTCCAGAAGCACCTGTGAAAACAAAAACCTCCACTTGAGAGCACTGTGAAAATGAAACTAAAACGGTCCTGAGTATTATCAACATGAATTTGCAAATATTATTTTTATAGGTTTTTGGGGGTGTTTTTTATTACCTCAATGTATACTATATAGTCTCTATACAGGTCATTGATCACTACATAGAACCCTGCATAACGTAAAGGAAAAGCACTCATTTAAAAATAGCATCTGTATCTAAATATTTTTTTTATTTGGTACTGTTATAAGTGATACTTCAGAGTCTTATAAGTGAAAGAGTATGCAAAAAGATTTCCTTCGTTTCTTCAAGTCATTTTTTGTGTATATTTGACAGCTCTTTGCATATAGTTAACTGTGCCATTTCAGTCAGTCCTCAAGTTGTTTAAATCTTTCACACTGCAGTACTAGAAAAAACACATTATTAAAAGAAAAAATGTACAAAATGACAGAGAAATGGCAGGTGATTCATGGGCAAGAATATCAAGTACAGTTCACTTGGTTTCTATATTAGCAGTGTCCCTTTTAAAATGTATAGAATTAAGATGATGTATGCAGATTGTGTTTTTTCTGATTATCTTTCAGTATAATTTTATACTAGCAAGTATATGGCTTTGTTTCATTGCTAGGTACAAACTCAGTTTTAATATCTTTTTAAAATATCTGTTCTATAGCAGTACCCCAATGAGCTCTGAAATCTAATTTAAAACAAGAGGCAACAGTGGGGATTGCAAGAATTAAGGAGAAGCAGAGAAAAGTGGATAAGGAAAACAGCATGCATAATCATAACCCAGCTATGTGCACAGCTAGATATTTTTTGGTCGGGTTCCTTTTAATTGAAAAATAAAAATAACAGGTAGTTAGCAGCAGGACCTGCTGGTTGTCTTTCTAGGCTTTCTTTGTTAGTTTACCACAGAGCGAGCGTACAAGAGAGATGTGGAAGACAAGATAGTAACTTAAGACTGTGACAGATATCCTTATACCTACTCCAGGCCCTTTATGTGGCATAAGAAATCCTAAAAGTCCCAGTCATAGCCATGAAGGATTCACCCTAATGCAGGTGTTACTTCCCAATGCCAATGTAGCAGGTAAAATGAGGCTCCTGCCAGACATTTATGTTTGTTTTGCTATATATGTGAGTATTCGTGTAACAAAATGTAACAGGCCAACTGGCTACACATTAAAATTATTGTGGGGTAGTTCAGTGCCATAAAGAAATTGTTGTTTTAATAATCAACTTTTTGTGGCTGATTCACCATTTTTATTGAGTGATAAACTGGTTTAACATCTGGTAGATTACAATTTGTCATGCAGTACTCAAATAGTATGTACAACAAGCGAAACACAGCATTATGGCCACTGTGACAGTCATAGGAAGCTATTGTGATGTTATATAGGTCCCCCCAAGTTCTTTAATGTACACCAAGGGAGACTCTCCAGCCACTGAGGCAGCCCAGAATTGAAAGGGTACAAAGTTGGCCCCCTTAACCCTGCTGTCCTTCAGTTGTGTGCTGTACCCCCAGAGTGAATCTGAGTTCAATTTGACTTGGGGAGGCAGGGGAGTCAAATACATAAAAAGGTACTTGTGGAAGATGTTAAAAATGACCATAACTGTTCCAAAGGCTGTCCCTTTCATTGAAGCACAATAGGACATCAGTTCACCATTTGTTTATACAAAAGAATATTGCTACTGGAAGAAACAACATAAAATATGACATTGTGAAATGGTGTCATAATTGGTGTAAAATACAATAAAGTTTTGTAAATTACAGGTAAGAATATTAAAAGACAGTGTGTGATTGCCCCAGGCATACAAAAAGAAGAAATTATTCCCATGATACCACTTGAGAATGTGAAGCATATGAAGCATTAATTATAACTGTACTCCATCCATTGAAATGTTACTACATTTATACTGCCAGCTAAAATGTTTTTTTAATGTTAAAGTCTGTTGCTGAATCATTATGATATGTTCACTAGGGCATATATAGCAGTGCTACGCAATAGTTTATGGCAAAGTAAATGTAGTTGGAAGCATGGACTGTGAAACTGATTGATTTACAGTGAGTGGTACCTGCTAGTAAACTCATGAAGAACTTTGAATATTCAGACCATGAAACACAAATGAGCATTTCCATCATGCAGAGCCTCCAGGTAGCATACTTCTGACCACAATATATACCATGGAATTTATTTTAAGATGATTACAATGTTAGACCCCTTAGCATTGGTGAACAATAGTGCTGGCATATTCAGGGATACTAGCAAATTTATACCAATTATCAGGTAGCAAAAACACCAATATTTAACCCGTGTCTAAACATATAAGTTCATTTTCCCATAGGAATGTATTGGATATGTGGGATAATATATGTACCAAAAATGCAATTATTGAATAATTTTTAAAAAAGAACAGCAACCCCTGGATTAGTGTACTCATCTGAAGGCTTTAAAACGTATCTTGCAAATGCCCTCTCTCACTCTTTAGCTTTGAATTATAATTTTCTTTATAGCAACCTTCACATTATAATGGCAAATCTCTAATTCCTCCAACATTTGAGGTTTTTAATTGATTTTTATGTATGTGTGCGTGTTTAATGTAACTTGTCATTTGGCTTGTCAAACCATTTTTAACATTTTGTTGGGTTTTTCTATGAAAATTATTCGTGTTAGAAAAAAATTATTCATGCTGGTGCCACTTCTCCAGGTTTTAATTAAGGTATCTAAATTTGTTCTTGTTTGAAGACTACTTGAAATACTATAATTCCTTTGATTTTTGTATGTTTAAATTTCAGTCCCAAAGTTCAAACTGAATTGAATTTATTTTGGCCAGAGATTATACCCGTCATACTGTAAACCCTACAAGGTTTTGGCAAGTTGTCTGACCAGTGTAATCTGCTTCCACGCTGGTGAGTGCTTGCAAGTTGGATGCTAGCGTTAGCTGCTGCATTCTCCCATTTGTAGTGCTGTTTTAAGGAATAGTGGATACGTCTACACATGTGCCAAACAGCGCAGTTGTTACTGTGCAGTCATTTAGTACTTGCTTCAGTACTAAACTGGCATTACTGTTCAGTCCCAACATTGCATGGGTTTTTTCCCATGCTACTGTGCAGTAGAGTTTGCATCGCTTTTCATGCCCACCAATGCTACATCGTCATAGCGTCTCATGGAGACGTGACCAATGTCAGCAGTGTACAGTGTCCATCACATATAATTTTTGTTTGGAAAACATGTTTGTGGATTCAGAATTACTGGGAAGTTCCCAGCTTGTATCTTCATCTAGTCCATATTGGGAACTAAATATATTCAGGTGATGGCCAAATTCAAATACTAACATTTCAAGGTCACATAATACATTGATTCTGTTCAGTTAATTATAATCCCTCAACTCACATTTTTCATGATGTGGCATTCATTTTGCTTACAAGAAAAATACCAACAACATTAAACAGAGTGAGAATGGGCTCACTCTATTAGGAGTTTTGTTTCTAGAGAAGATTCATAGATTGTGAGGCTGGAAGGGACCTCAGAAGATCATCCGGTCCGGCCCCCTGCCCCAGGCAGGAAAGACAACTGGAGATTTAAACAGCTCTTCAAGAAGTAAATTATTTAATTTTAGTTCAGTTATCTTAATGAGTAGAATCATGCTGGAAAGGGTAATACTCAGCTCTTAAACAACAGATTTTTTTATACTCCAAGCAGACCTTTACACAGATGGAGGAAATGAGGCAGAGGGTATTCATAGAGAGCTAGGATTGGAACTTAAAGTCCCAGTCACAGCTATCACTTTTAATGGCCATTGAATGCATGATTCTATAACTGTGTGTCTATCTTTTTTTCTCAGCATATAGTATAGGTAACATTAACACTTTTAGGAGGAGTGCTTGATTTTAATGAAAAATTAACATTATCAAGAAGGTATCCAGATCTTAATAGCACTCAGAAAATGGGGTTTTTTTGGTTTGCAAAGTGCTCTTGGAAATGCATTTGTTTGAGCGTATACAGAGAAGCGAGAAGTATCTTTGACATTTCTCTCTTGTGTGTGTCACTGTAGCTCAACTAACACATTAAATAATTTCCCCATTATAAGGAAAACCGTGGTTAGCATATCTTGAAGTTTTCTTGGGAAGCAAATAAAAAAATCAGCTGGAAAAAAAGTACTCTGGGGAAGAAGTCAAACAAATTTCTGGTTCTGCTGTTTTTAGTATTTGGTTTTCTCATTGTTAAAATATTTCTTGAGCTCGCTTCTTTTCCCTTTTTTCAAAGAAGCAAGGAGTTAGTTTGTTGTTTCTTCTTCCCCTAGGATTTCCTGCTGCAGATTTTTACTGTATTTCGAATTCTGATACGACCAGAGATGTTTCCAAAAGACTGGACAGTGATGCGTTTGGTGGCTAACAAGTAAGATTTTTATAAATGGTCATGCTATATGCATAATTAATATTTGAGGTGTATGGGTAAGAGAATACTTGTGTGATGTGTATAATAAAAGATGCAAAAAGATCTTTAAAAATATTTCATTTACAATATTTGGCTGCCCCAAAGTATTTTGTGGTATACTTGTATAGTGATCCAGCATAATTATTAAAAAATCTCTGAAGTTATATTCCTAACAAATTTTTGACATGACTAGTATTTGTTGTCTTGTTGCAAATGAGTTGTTAGGTATCTATAACATGGAACCCACATAAAGATGTGTACAATAATAGAGTTATCAATCATTAATAGGTTTTTTTGTCTGCGTTGTAAATAACACATTGAAACAAAAGTTTGTCTCAATATCTAAAGGTTGATACTGATTTAAAGCTGTTAGCTCCCAAGAAAGAATCAGCTGTTGCAGGAACATAAAAAGAAAATAGTGAATTTAATGCTTATGCAAAGCACCCAAATTGCGGTCTAAATAGTCAGATACAGCATAGGAGCAATGTAAAATTC